GCTCATCCACAAACCAAAATTGATCTTGCCGTCATATTTCACAACACTAATCTTAGTGTTCTGAAAACCCACTTGAACTGTGCCTGTCATCTTGCTGCTTTCACCAATTACTTCACCCATAATCACAACTTCCAAATTGTAGAGAAAGATCCAAACTTTGAAAGAATAAGAAATTACCCAACTGAACCCTAGATTGGATTCCAAATAGAACTCCTAACCACACGAGGAAAGCGAGATCTTCAACGGCAACTTCAAACCCTAACTCCACCAAAGCCTAGAACTCCAAGAACCAAGCTTCAAACTGAATCTTCCTCCACCTAATCCAAAACCCTAGATCTGAATCTGAGCTCTGATACCACTTGTCGCGCGCCTTTGCGGAAGCCTTGCACGAACTCACAACGAACCTGTGATCACGAGTAGAAGAAAGACAAACTCTTGCACAAATCCAACCAATAAAGCCAAATCAATCCAAACACAGAGATATACGTGGTTCGGCAATTTGCCTACGTCCACGGGGAGAGGATGGGGAGATTTCACTAAATCAAGGAGAGTACAAAGGGTTACAATCACACAAATTCTCTCAAACTAACCCTCAACCAAAGATCTCACCTTGCTCACAATATCTCCCTCTCACAATGCTCAAAAGATTCCTCAATCTCTGATAAAAAACCCTCACAAATCGTTTCCCTATTTATATCAAAACAAAACCCCAATCAGACTGCAAATAGGAAACCTGCGTATGCAAAAAACCCGTCGTAAGTCGACTTAACAGAGCTCACAAGTCGACTTGACAGAGAGAAAATCAACAACTGGAGAACACTTCATAAGTCGACTTAACAGACTGTTAAGTCGACTTGCCATAAGTCGACTTAACAGTCATGCTAAGTCGACTTGACAGAGGCTAAAATCACAATTCGGCTGCAGATCGTAAGTCGACTCGTGCACAGTGCATGAGTCGACTTATGCCAGTTTTTCTGGTTTTTCTGATTCTTTTCCTGATTTCTCCACATAGCATGTTTCTAATATGTTTCCTAATTTGTTTTGGTAACATGTTATTGGGATTACTAATCTGTTTTGATAACATGATTCCAAATCTATTTTGGTAAATGGTTATTAGGATTCCTAATCTGTTTTTTTTTTAGAATTCCTAATATGTTTATAATTTTAGGATTTCTATATATATGGAATAATTGGAAGAGAGAATTGAGAAAAAAATTGGGGATATTTAGAGCACAGAAAATATGTATTTTCTGAGCTATTGATTAGGGTTTTGTTTGGAGCGAATTAGAGATTTGTTGGTGAGATTAATCGGTGAGTTTGAGTGATTTGTAATCTCAGTTTGTACTATTCTTCTTTATTAGTTAAAAACATTAGCCCTTCTTGCCCCGTGGACGTAGGCAACTTGTCGAACCACGTTAAAATTGGTTGTTTGTGTTTGTGACATTGATTTGGTTCGTTTGGCCGTTGTTTGTGTTTGTGACATTGATTTGGTTCGTTTGGCCTTCTCTCGACGTTCGTTTGATTTGATTTCTCGTAGCACGTTGGTTTCGACGTTCGTTTGATTTGATTTCTCGTAGCACGTTGGTTTGGTTGTTTGGCTTCCGCAGCGCTCAACAGTTCAATGGTTTTGCGAGACGCTACAAGATCATCTACTTTGTAAATATTTTTATTTACCTCGACCGCTAGAATATGAGTAGCGAAACACCACTAGAGACCATAAGGATCATAAATCTGTAAAATTCAAAACATAAATTTCAAGTAAGTCATATGATATGAGGACACCGCTGAGAGTTGAAGAACGTAGATATCTTTTACTTTTACCCAAGGAGTAACTTCTCTTACCATCCAAGTGAACAGAGAAATAGCAGGCCGAAGCCATGGGAGGTGGACAAGCTAAACTCACGAGGCCTTGAGTTAATAATTCACCGAGATTCTGGACCCTGTCAGTTTAGCATTGGCTTTTGCACTAATTTCAAATTTATTGTGGAGTCCTATTGTAACTTGGCCCACGATATTTTGCACTGTGTGGCCTGTAATCAACTGCAACAGGACCCAGACCCGAATCTAGGCCCCAGACCCGAATCTGTCTCCATCTCAGATTGAGACAAACTTTGAGTCTGGTCCATGTGTTGCGCACCATTAAAGCACTTGATGTGGCACTACGCATTCAAAAATGGCATAAAAAGGGACAAGCAATGACTCACGTGTAAGGGTGCAAAATCCTATCTGTATCCGTGGATATATCCGTAACTGTATTTTATCATTAGGTTACAGATATAACTACTCAAATATATGACTGATAAAACATGGCTATGGATGTAGTTATGTAGTCGAATATCTAGATCCGTATCCAAAATATCCGAACATGTGTTGATCATGTAGACAACCGTTTTAATCATTTGATTAATGAATTTAAAACCAATTTCGATGACTAAGAGATCTAAATTTAGCTTTTTTAATGTAACAAACATAACAAACAGTTCTCTTGTATCATACAATTATTTGATTTTCTCATATATTCTGAAAACAGGTAACCTATTCCTCAAATAGAAGTATAAGCACCTAAGATTATCCTTCCAAAAACATTGAAAATCAAAACATATTTCGTTTATAAAAACAAAAAGAAATGTTCTCTGAAGTAAATATATGACCCATCAAAATATTATTTCCAGATATAAGAAACAGTTAAAATTACATTACTCGTTAGAGAAAAAAGACAGAACCATGTGCGAATTAATTCAGTAAAGGCGCAACGGACCAGGGAAAATTTAATTTTGCAAATGGCGACATCTGACCAAGACACATGGGCCATTAAATAGTTCTAGGCTTTAGCCCAATATATTGGGTCCACTTATTTCAGGCGGTCCAAATTTTTTGGCCTACTTAGGAAAACACAGGCTTGTACTTAAAGCCCAGATATTTTCTGTCGTCTGCATGGTCAAGCAGTTCACGTTTGTCTGTAGTACATTCCAATTGTTTCATAATTGATCTCATTAAATTTTGATGCAAAAGTTTTTTTCTTTTTTGCTTATTTCAGTATTTCATAACCTATTGATGTAAAAATTAAATAGAACTCACCATGGGTTATCCTCACAAAATAATAAGAATAAAACTATTAATTAATTCTTTCACATTAACAAAGGAAATGATGTAATTTTGCACCTAACATCTCGGAAGAGATCCTCTACATTATTGGTTGTATTATTTTACGTTATTAATGTAAAATCCACACTCAATGCCGCGTTGTGCACATATTTTCAAACTCAAAAACACTGTGCTCCCACGTACAAAAACATAGCTCTTAATAATCTCTCATCATTACTACCATTAAATGTTGCATAGTTGCATCTCATCTCACAAGTAAACACAAAAGCGACACAACACCACTTTTCTTGGTATTGGAAGGATATAAAGAATCAATATTTTCACTTCCGTACAACTTAACGGATCTGGATCATCTCCTAACGAAAAGCTCCTAATATCTCCTAATAAGGAGATCATATCCTTTCATTTTCATCATGATCTTTCATTTTTTCACCCATCCTTGTGGGCCCCCCTCCCAACTCTTCACAATTCTTCATTAGGAAATATTAGGACTAGGAGAGGATACTAGTTCCAACTTAACAACAATTTATTTTAGAAATTAACATTGTTACGTCTTTTCTTGTGTTTTTTTTCCAATGATTGTCACCCATATCTTGACAGTTTGAAATTCACCCGTCAAATCACTGAAGTCGCTATTAGGTCGACCAATTTTTACAAGTTGTTTGATAGCAATTTCAATAATTGAGGGGCTGATTCAAAATATGAAGGATTTAAGAGGTTTATATGCAAAAAAATTCTTTTTTCCCCCCTCCTTCGTTTTCTGCCCCTTACAATTTCTCCACCCATCAGCATCAGCGTCATCACAATCTTCCTTGAGCATGAAACACCTGGCTCCTTACGTCGAGAGCTTGGAAATTTTCTGCGTGTTTTTGTGCAAATGGCTAAATATGTTGAAGCTGATAGATTTTTAAACTTAAGATAATAATAAGTAATTGAATTGATGACATCCAGTGTGACCGACAAGTTCATGTCTTGCCTCCAGCACAACATATATACATGGAAATTTTGTCCCAAAAAATCTCCACTACAAAAAAGTAGTGGAGAGACCACTACTTTTAATCTCAATCGTTATTTATTTAGTAGGCGGTTATGATACAATCTAAATCTAACACTTACCATACCCCAGTGTATTGCACTCATTCCTAATTTGTACTAAAAAAAAAAGGGAAAATTGCTTGGGGGAACCAACTTAATTTGGCCCATTCATCCCCACCCTCCAACTAAAGTCAACCACTTGGGGGCACCTTGACCCAAGTTGTAATGCTTTTACACCCCAAACCCAAGATTGTATATATACTTTATAGTGTATTTTTGCCAATTGCCCTTTTTACCCTTTGTACTCCTCCGATTTTGGGAATACCAGGTGAGTTTTTTTATCCTGTTGGCCAGCAAAGCAACCCATCAAATCGGAAGTCAGATTTGAAGTCACTTCCGTTTCTAGCTAGAGAGAGGTTTTATGGAGGGAAAAGGGAAAAATGGAGGGAAAAAGATACTAAGTTCCCTCCAAAATTGTTCATGCCTCATTTCAATGTAATATATACTCTTCCCTCTTTAGATCTACTACTAAGACCTTCAACAACCATTTATATTCTTAACTTTTTCCTCTTAACTTCTTCAACAACCACAATGGAAGATTCCTTAATGTGTGTTATTTCATTTAACAGTAATGCAACCCTCATTAAAGTCAATTCGACAACAATATTTGCTGAATTGAAGATGATCGTTGCAGAGAATTTTAGAGAATCGTACGAAAGTTTGTTGATAAGTTACTCTATCGAGAAGTTTCCCAATGTCTCATTTGAGCTTTCAAAAGATGAAGATATTCTCAATATGATAGGTTATCATCGTTCAATGGGGTTAAATACGTTGACCATGACTGTTACTGAAAGAGATGAAGGACCCACTCATGCCATAGGGACAGAAACGGAGCTTAGGTAAGTATTCAAAAATATATTTTCAGGTTCTGGATACACGTGACATATTACGTTATATATGTGACCTGAAGACATCCAACGTGACAAGTTGACTTTATTTGTGACATATGGACTTTATTTGTGATACTTAGGTCTTATATGTGACTTTACTGGTAAGTATCACACGTGACTTACTTGTGACCTTATCTTTCAACCTGCAGTGTTCCTAATGTTAGCACACAGTCATCAGAGCATATCGAGGAACCTTATGAGAGGATCACAATCGAGGAATCAGAGAGGATCCCAAACGACAACCCTCAAGGAGAGCATGTGTGGATGATGAACGATGTAGTAAGTGACTCGTCACGGATCCCAGCATGGTGGCACGAGGCAATTACTGGAAAAGGGCAGCAATTTGAAAGTGCAAAAGAAGTTAGAATGGCTCTTATATACTACTCTATAGCTAAGAAGTTTGCTTTTAATTATGTTAACAATGAGCCAAAACGTATTCGTGCTAGTTGCATGTTCAGAAAAGAAACAAAATGCCCGTGGTTGCTTTTCGCTTCACCATTGAGGAATGTGTCAACCTTTGCTATAAAAAAATTTGTTCCTCAACATACATGCGGACAACATAACAGCACAGCTGGTCACTTCAGAGCATCAAGAAGGTGGATTGCGAGTATGCTACAATCAGTTATGAAGAGGCGTCCATATATTACCCCAACTGACATTAGAAAGGAATTGCACTCTCAATATGGATTAAGAGTTAATTATTCTAAAGCTTGGCGTGCTAAGGAGACGGCAAAAGACCAAATATTTGGTTGCGCAAGGCATTCATATGATTTACTATCCTGGTTAGTCCAAGCGAATTGTTGATGTCTCCTTTAGAACGTATATCTATCACACTTAACTGTAAATATGACATGTCAAAATTCTATGTGACATTTCGACCTTATATGTGACATTTCGACCTTATATGTGATATTTGGACCTTATATGTGATATTTAGACCTTATTTGTGACATTTAGACCTTATATGTGACATTTAGACCTTATTTGTGACATTTAGACCTTATATGTGACTTATGGACCTTATATGTGACATTTAGACCTTATTTGTGATACTTAGACCTTACATGTGATATTTGTACCTTATGTGTGACATTTGAGTATTACATGTGATATTTAGATATTGTTCATCATTTAACAAGTTATTTGTGATTTAACCAACATTTTTAGGTACCAAATGAAGGTGATATGACCAACTGTAAATGTGACATGTCAATATACTATTCGACATTTAGACCTTACATGTGATATTTAGACCAAATATGTGATATCTGGACATTATATGTGACATATAGACCTTATATGTGATATTTGGACCTTATATGTGACATTTAGACCTTATACGTGACTTATGGACCTTATATGTGACATTTAGACCTTATTTGTGACATTTAGACCTTATATATGACATTTAGACCTCATATGTGACTTATGGACCTTAAATGTGACATTGAGACCTTTTTGTGATATTTAGACCTTACATGTGATATGTGTACCTTATGTGTGACATTTGAGTATTACATGTGATATTTAGATATTGTTCATCATTTAACAAGTTATTTGTGATTTAACCAACATTTTTAGGTACCAAATGAAGGTGATATGACCAACTGTAAATGTGACATTTCAATATACTATTCGACATTTAGACCTTATATGTGATATTTAGACCAAATATGTGATATCTGGACATTATATGTGACATATAGACCTTATATGTGATATTTGGACCTTATATGTGACATTTAGACCTTATATGTGACTTATGGACCTTAGATGTAACATTTAGACCTTATTTGTGACGTTTAGACCTTATATGTGTCATTTAGACCTTATATGTGACTTATGGGCCTTATATGTGACTTATGGACCTTATATGTGACATTTAGACCTTACGTGTGATATTTAGACCTTACATGTGATATTTGTACCTTATGTGTGACATTTGAGTATTACATATGATATTTAGATATTGTTCATCATTTAACAAGTTATTTGTGATTTAACCAACATTTTTAGGTACCAAATGAAGGTGATGGAAACAAACCCAGGAAGTGTCTTCACCATTGAACAAGAAGACACGAGATTCAAACGTTTATTTGTGTCGTATGGTGCATGCATACAGGGGTTTCTCAAGGGATGTAGGCCATTGCTCTTTCTAGATGGGACTTTTCTGAAGGATCGCTACAAAGGGATCCTATTAGGTGCGACTGCTTATGATGGTAATCAAGGCATATTTCCACTCGCATTTTGCGTTTGTGACCAAGAAAATGAAGCAAATTGGAGTTGGTTTATTCAAGGATTGCGGTATATTTTGTACAATCGAACAGAACCGTACAATCCACCCCATCCTCTAGTGATTTTGTCAGATGCCGACAAAGGAATTAAACAATCTTTGAAAGATATATTTCCAGATGCGTACCACTCTAGATGTGTACTTCATCTCGTTGAGAATTATAAATTAAAGCTTAGAGAGATGGGTTTTGCCTCAAGTGCGGCTCAACGTATTTCAAAATTATTGGAGTTTGCTGCATACAAGTACACAGAAAGAGAATTTAAAGCTGTTTTACATCAGATTAGGATGACAGATCAAAGAGCTTACCAAGTAGCTCTAAGTTATGGTCCTAGTAATTGGGCCAATTCTGTATTTCCTGGTATAAGGTACGTCAATTATCATTACCTTTACTGGTTATATTATGCTGTTATATGAAATTGAGCCTTTAAATGTCACATTTCGCTTTTATATTGATGGATCACATTCGTGTACAAATTATGGAAAGAATGAATACTCGCCGCGTGATGGCAACAAATTGGAATAGCTATCTATGTCCAGAAGCGGAAAAAATCCTCCAAGAAAATGTCACCAAGGGAAGCACTCTTGAAGTATCGCATTCTACAGCTGAAATCTTTGAGGTATCATCACAAAAATCAGTACAAGTTGATTTGGATCACAAAACATGCACGTGTCGTGCATGGGATATATTGAGAATACCATGTAAACATGCGTGTGCTGCTATCAACTTTATGCATAGAGATGTGTACCAGTTTTGCGATTGGTTCATGACGACTGAAGCTTTTAAGAAAAGTTACGAACCAATTCTCTTTCCTGTTCCAAATTATGATAAGCCAGATGTAACGGATGAAACAGTTAGCATTCTTCCCCCAAAGACGACAAAGAGACGTGGAAGGAACAAGAATAGACGTATCAACAACAGATCTGAGAATAGACGTGCAATTAGATGCTCAAGATGTCACGCTGAAGGACATAACCGAGCCACATGCACTGAACCTATCCAAGATTAACGTTTCCTGGCAGATTGCGGACTCTTTTGTGATTATTTTCTGTTACATGTTACTTTTGCCGTTTTGTTGTGACATTTTGTACTTATATGTGACGTATTACATGTAAATGAAATTTATTACATTTTGGGCAACATTAACTACTTATATGTGACATATCACCTGTTCGTGTGACGTATTACCTGTTTAGACATATAGATAATTGCGCTATTTTGTTGCGACATTTACTAATTTTGCCTTTATGATATTCTGTGTGACATAACATCCCGTCCCTCGAGGACCCAACAACATCCTGATGGAAAAATATCAAACTGAGCAACATAACAGCACTACTTATATGTGACATAACATTCTATGTGACATTAACATCCTGATGAAAAAATACGCATGTAGAAGACAAAAAAAACTCTATAACCGAGCATCATAACAGCACCAAAATCTCACACAGAATATCAAACTGTGACATAAAAAGAGCAGAAGTCACACAGCATTCTAAAATGTCACACAGCAGACCCAAAAGTCACACACAGCACCAAGATCATGTTCATCTTTAATATGGTAAAGAAAAGATCACCAGGTCATATCCATCTATGTTAGTAAACTGGTTATCATTTACAAACAGCAGTTAAACAGCAGTTAAACGACCAACATCCATCACAGGACATCCAACAAATGAAACAATTACATCTAGAGTCTAATACTTCCACTCAATCATAGGTGCATCACTACCCCCGAAGTACAATAGATATTCTGGATCATCACTGTCTAATTTCAACCGTAGCTTTTTCCATTCACGCCCTTCACATATAATTTGAGCAGCAAGTCTAGCCCGTAGCATATGCGACTCCCTGTGCAAGACTTCAATGTCCATCACCTCCCTTCCCTCGAGGATCGCCTTAATGAAAAAATACGCATGTATGCCACAATCATATCTGTAAAAATATAACATAACACTTAATAGCAGGATATGTAACGGGTAACGAGAATAAAACACAGTTACCTAATATGTCACATACAATATCAAAATGTCACATAATAGCAGCATAAGTCACACTGCATACTAAACTGTCACATAACATGCCCAAAAGTCACTTGTAGTCCGCAAATATCACATCAATATTTGCACCGACAATGTCACTAAGCCATACAACAAGCCATGCAACAATCTCATGGTTAAGTATAAGAAACTTACGAGCCTTTTTGCGTTCGACAAGGGACTGCTTCATATTGGAATGCTCTGAATGTCGACGCCTGATCGAAACCACTCACCATCCTATCTAAAAAAAGTTGGATGGTCAACATGTCTCTAGCCCATGCCTCGTGGTCAGCGGAGCTGTAATGTCTGCATTTTTTTTGCCCCAAGTTGACCTCAAGGACATGCCAATGGTCAGCGTGACATATTGGAATTATCAACACATCCTTCCCTTCATCTATATGCTTCTTTATGTAATTTTTATAGACATTGCGCTCATCCAAATTTGAAGCAGTTAGCAACCAAATCTGTTGAAAACAGAAAATACAGCAAGCAAAAGAAAGTCATATAAATGCAATATAACTCAAATTGTATTATGATCGTCATTACTCACACTAAAATACGACGTGACAATAGCGTATTTTCTTTCGACATGGGCATTTATTAGCAGCTTGAGCCATGTTCGAAGACTTGCAACCAGAGCTTCAATGATCTGATGATTGCAAATGTAATAAGTTATTGTAATTGTGCAAAACTTGATTAACACCGCAACTTAAACAAAAACTAACCTCATCCTTTAATCTTCCACCACGTAGAAGATGTAGCATATCATATCTGCATATAGTGTGGTCTTCAACCTCAAAAATTGTCCGACTACAAAATGTATAACCGGCTACAAAATGTAGAAGACAATCAATGTATAAGCGACATATTCTAATCAACACCAAACTGTCACAGGAAAATATGAAATGTCACAGGAAAATAATAAATGTCACACGAAAACACTATATGTCACATACAAACACTAAATGTCACAGGAAAACACTATATGTCACATACAAACACTAAATGTCACAGGAAAACACTATATGCCACATACAAACACTAAATATCACATACATGTACTGAACGTCACATACAAACACTAAATGTCACATGAAAACACTAAGGGTCCCAAACAAACACTAAATGTCACATGAAAACACTATATGTCACAGAAAAACACTAAATATCACATACATGTACTGCGTCAGATACAAACACTAAATGTCACATGAAAGATACAAACACTAAATGTCACATGAAAACACTAAGGGTCCCAAACAACCACTAAATGTCACATGAAAATACTATATGTCACATGAAAACACTAAATGTCACATACAAACACTGAATGTCACATACAAACACTAAATGTCACAAACAAATACTAAATGTCACATACAAACACTGAATGTCACAGGAAAACACTATATGTCACAAGAATAACATTTAATATCACAGACCAAATATAAATATCACAGAATAACACTTAATACTTACTTGTCAACTTTTAATGTAAGAAAATGTTGAAGCCACTTGTTCTCATCAGCCAACACATCAGGAATGTCCTCAACGGTGAAATTATGGTAAAAGCCTTCGTTGATTGTTCCCGGTAGCCTGACATCAAAGTCTTGTGAAGAAGGAATGCCCATATTCAACGTCTCTAATAATTTTTTTTCCTCTTCACTTTTTTCCCTTTTCCATAGCTCTGCAACAGATGTACTCCTACCGAGGTGTGAAACAGCAAGTGGCTTCCCCTCATCCTTCTCCCCCTTGTCGTCGTCGTCTCCCACCACAACGACACCTTTCTTCCCTTTCCTTCCCTTCTTTGGCAATTCAGTTTGGAAGGGAGATTCTAAGAACTTGGGCTTCTTTGTTGTTCTTTGGCTCTTTGCCCGTAGCCCACTAACAAATACTTTTAAAGTATCATCGCCGCCCTCCCTCCTCTTCCTTCCCTTCTTCTTTTTGGGAACATCCTCAGCAACTTTTACATCACATAGCTGTATAAAGATCACAGTTAATGAATATATATCACAGGAAATATTCATATATCACAAATAATAACCAAACATCACATGTAAACTGTTTACGTCACATTATTAGATAAAATGTCACAAGAGACATATGAATGGCACAATTTGTAGACAATTGTCACATACCAAAGGGAACTATCACAAATAAGCAGTAAATGTCACATGCAATAAGCAAATATCACAAAAGAAAGTTACCTCCTGTTCACTGCCCATGGCCTGGGTTTGATCACCTTCTTTGCCTCCCTCCTCTCCCTTTCCTTCTTCTTTCTCTGCCTCAACTTTAGCCTGTATACCACTCACAGTTAATGAATATATATCACATAAATAAGACATGAATATATATCACAGGTAATAACCAAACATTACACTAAACTGTTTACGTCCCATTATTAGACAAAATGTCACAAGAGACATATGAATGTCACAATAGGCAGACAAGTGTCACATACCAAAGGGAACTATCACAAATAAGCTGTAAATGTCACAGGAAAACAACAAATATCACAAAGGAGAGTTACCTCCTCCAGTTCAATGTCCATCTCTCGGGTTTGATCACCTTCACTCAATGCCTCATCTATTTGTGGCTGCATAGATGTAAAAACAATAACCAATTTCAATTCATCAAATATTTTCTCAATAATTTTTCCCCCTCATGTGACACGGGACATAGGCTATTACCTCTCCTTTGTTTTGCCTTATACGTTTCTCCTCAGCAAATTTTTTCTCAGTTTCGGCTTTAATAGCCAAAATATCAACGCCGCGAGCAACAAGTGCTTGCTCATAGGCTTCATTCAACATCACCAATTTTTCATAAGCTTCGTCCTACATTAACAATAAACTGATAGTGAGCAAAAGTCACAAATAAGAGGTTGACACATCCAAATCATCAACATTACCTCTTTTTGGACTCTTTTCTTCCCCAATGATTTTTTACCCCTAACTTCCTCCTCAACTTTAGCCTTCACCGTTGTAGGACTGGGCTTTATCTCCTCGTGAACATACCTCGCCACATCTTGCTCCGGTAAGATGTGGATTGCGGCTTCCGATTTCTTCAAAATCATTGTAGTCCGCACCGAACCCACCTTCTTACCCTCCAATGTCCAATTTATCATTGGAGGCTTGGATTCATCCACTCTTGCCGGCTCTTTGATGTTAGAAATCTCATAATACCATAGCTTCAAAAAAAGGCCACATTCAATCAATGAACATATTAGATACAAATGTCATAGATAAATGGCAATAATCACTTACAAGAAGATAAATTCACACATTAACTACAACTGTTACAAATCAGGGACAAATGTCACACATGGGTAACAAATGTCACATATGATTAGAATATATAACATGTAGAAGACACTTATCACATATAACAAGATAATATCACATTTAATTGGAAATAATCTCATATAACAAGATAATATCACATACAAACTACAAATAAATAGGAAACTTAAACAATACAAATTAGATACAAATGTCACATATAAATGTCATATATCACATGTAAAACGTAATGATCACAGATAAGGTGCAAATGCAACATATTACTTACAAATAACACATATAACTCACCGATAGCAAGGGAGCGCAGCCGATGAGATATGTCTGCCCCTTCTTCGCTATCTTCGCAGTCTTGAAAGAGTCCCACAATTCCTTGTAGATGATCGTCGCCCATGGCAAATTATCAACCATATCTATCCGAGCTATATATTTGAACATATGCCGGGGTGCATTCATTCTTGCGGTCGGAGTCCATATCATTGTGAGTTGATAGAGGATTTGAAGCATAACAAAATCAGAAACATCTGTCCTCTTTCTTGACTGAACCAATCTTTCCAATAGGGCCTCAAGGTAGTCTCGGCCACTCTTGTATTGGGATTGTTGTTTGTTGGAGAAGTATGTGTTCCATATCCTATTCTCTGTGTCGCGGTTGGCTTCGGGTTTATCTCCTTCATCATTAAACCGGGTATGTTTACGCACCCAATTTACATCAAAAGTATACGCTTGTGGAGTCCTAGTTTGGCTATCCTTGAAAAAGAACTTCCCCGTGGCTAAATCCAAATGATCTAGAAGCAACATAATCGTAGCCTTGTCCGCTGGAATTGGTCCAAAACTAACATAATTTTTGAAATTGGAGGATCCATACGCCCTCCAATGTTCAGCCCTCATCCGTGGAGCAATTCCATCCATGAATGTACAATATCCACGTATATTGCAAGAAATTCTGATATCATGCGTACTGTAAAACATAACACAACAGATACTACTTCAACTTAGAGTTCTAATACGGCTAAAATCACAGTGCAGACGAAAACGACGACGAAGAGCGGCGGCGGTCTTCAGAGGATGAGGGTTTCGAAGAATAGGATGAGCGGCGGCGGTCTTTGACGAAGACGACGAGCACGAAGACGGCGGAGAGGGTTCCCAAGCGTTGTCGTCGACGGTGGTTTTGGGAGGAGGAGGGTTTCAACAGAGAAGATAGTCTCTTTGATGTTACAGGTGGTTTCGATAACAACGCTCAGAAGGGAAAATAAGGATGGTATAGTTAATTGTGAAGGGTAATTTGGGGATAATTTTTGGGGTAATGTATCTGTACTTATTTTGGGGGCTTGTTGTATTTATTTTGCTGTATAAGGGCTTTGTGGTTATGGTTTTTGGGCTTGGGGTGGGGATGAATGGGCCAAATTAAGTTGGTTCCCCCAAGCAATTTTCCCAATTTACTATTAAATTTTGTACAATTCTACTAATAAACAAAATCCGAATATGTTTAAAATAGAATTCAAGTAGGCTTAACAGTACATTTAACTAAAAAGTGAGGGTTAATAGTTCCAAATTAGGAATTATAGAGAAAATTCCGGCATTTTCACGATATAAGGTATTAAAATACAAATCTTAAAGATTTTAGGGTGTATACTGCTAACCAGAATAAGTGGAGGTATATACGTGCAAAGTAGGTGAAACTATAAGGAGTGTAAGTGTTAATAAGCCTACATTTTAGTTTTTAGTTACTCTCAGGCCACTACATCGCGCTCTACAGTGTAATCCGTAAACGAGGGTGGGATCACGATCGAGTATGGCGTTATGGCATGGGCTGGTA